ACCACGCCTGGCTGCTGCCCTCTGTGCTTTTAGAGGAGCCCTGAATGCACTGTCATTTGCAGTACTGGGAATGACTTGCAGTTGTGGTCCACTTAGTTTCTTAGTTGAGATCCTCGGCCCAGGAGGAAGATCCCAGGCCCCGGGAAGCAGGTGGCCTGGAGGTCCAGGCTTTGCAGGGTGACCTGAAAGCCTGAGCTCCACATGGAGGTGAAGCACTGGTGCCCTCGACTTGGGCTGCCATGTTTGCTTATGGCACATAGATGCTTGCTGTTCCGAGTCCAAGATGTCACAGCAATGTCTGATGCACAGCGGAGATGTGTGGTACTTGAATAGGACAGGACGCAGACTGTCGTTTAATCACCCTTGTGGCAGCCTGGTAACAGCGCTCTAAGTGTGGATGGTGTGCACTCCGGGACGCACTGGTGCGCCCCCATCAGTGGAGTCGGTCTCCACCTAGGCTGCACTGCTGGGTCCTGCTCAGCTCTCTTGCTGGACAGTGTCTGTCTTCCTCAGTTCTGCATTCCGTCCCAGTGGTTCATTTCTTCTTCCTTTCCTGTTTCTTTGGTTTCCATTTGGCTGACTTCAACACACTGGATACAGTCAGACATTTGGGCTTTGATCTGTAGTTGTCTCATTTTTAGCACCCCGAGATTGCCTTTATGCTCTTGTGAGCTTCGCTACGAATTAACCATTTATAAAGATTTTATGCACTCAAGTATGACAGCAAATTCCTATAGTCCCTCCTATTTTACTTATTTTTTACTCATTTATTTTTTTGAGACAGGGCCTTGCTATGTAGTTCAGGCGGGCCTTGAACTCACTATGTAGCCCAGACTGGCCTAGAACTCGGGTCCTTGCGCTTGCAAGGCAAGTGGCAGAACTGCTGAGCTAAATCCCCGGCCCCAAGAGTTCTGTATTTACTAGGCATTAAAGCATGAAATGCCAGTTTCTCTGGATTTTCAGAGGAGTTTCAGTGAGTGCATATAGAAGTGGTAGACTTAGGAAAGAAAGCACTATTGTAAAACCCAGGATGAAACAATCCAGGGTAGATACCGTGGGTGGATGCCAAAGCCACTATGTGAAATGAAATGTCAAGGTGTTGGCTCAAAGAGTCTGTCACTGCCCTGGATAAAATGGGCTGTAGGTTGGAGAGATTTTCAACCTCCAATTTATTTGTTTATTTGTTTGTTTGTTTGTTTGTTTTGGGTAGGGGTGCCAGCGATTGAACTGAGGACCTTGCAATTTTGAAACAGGTTTCGGTGCCACTGAGTTAAATCTCTGGCCCCATCCAATTCATTTATTTATTTAGGCTTTTTGAGATAGCGTCTTGCTATGTAGCCCAGACTGGCCTCGAATCTATGGTGATCCTCTTGCCTCAGCCTCCCCGGTGCTGGGATTACAGGTGTGCACAGCCATAGTGCAGTCTGCAGTTTGCACAAGGGGTGGGACCGAGTATGGTGATGGGGTGCTGATTCGTGAGGGAATGCAGCAGCAGGATCAGAGAATCCTCAGAACTCTTAGCCCTGATCTTCAGCCTTCACGAGTGGCTTCTAGTAGATGGAGTGGCCTGGTTCATTTTTGTTTCTATAATGAAATGCTTGAAGGGTAACTTTATTTTGCTCCCAGTTTTGGAGGCTGACGGTTGAAACAGCATGGTTCCAGCCCTGGTGACTGCCCTCTGGTTACATCACCATACCAAGGAGCCATTTTGAGAGTGGGATCAGGGCATGAGAGCCAAAGCCAGGCAGCTGTGCTTTTTATAACAACTCTCAGCCAGGCCTGTAATCCCAACTGATTAGGAAGCTGAGACAGGAGGATCGGCTTGAGTTTGAGGCCAGCCTGGGTTCAAAGCCAGTGAAACCCTCTTTCCAAAACAAAAAAAGAAAAGAAAGAAAAAAAAATACTAGCCTGAGATGTGAATGGGGCGAGCAAGGAAAAAGAGGGATGATGAGCCACTCTGGGGGAAGAGAACAGCAGGGCCGCAGGGGCTGTGGCTGGAGCACCTCTTTTCCTGCAGACCCTGGGTTTCACGGCCTCCTGGGCCCTGCTCCTCGGAGGCAGCTCTGGAGTGGAAGCTGCAGACCTCAGATGCTGCCTCCATCAGGTGTGCAAGCCCAGCTCCCTGGGGGCTCTGATAGCAGGGCCTAGGAGTCCCCTCCAGTGCTGGGGCTCTTCCAGCCTCCTTTACTTTTTTTGTTGTTCTGTAAATGGATTTCCGCACCTCCTGGAGGTGCCAGCTGCTCTCTGGCCACATTTTTTGGTGTGTTTTGGGGGAGGAGGTGTACTGGAGACTGAACTCTGGGCCTTTGCAATAAGCTACATCTCCAGGCCTTTTAAAATTAATATTTCGGGGGCCGGGGATTTAGCTCAGTGTTTCTGCCACCTGCCTTGCAAGCGCAATGACCAGAGTTCGATCCCTGGTACAAAACCAAAAAAAATTAATTAATATTTTTGTCTAGGAGTAGTAGCACATACCTGTATCCCCAGTATTATAGATGAAGGGCGGGGAATTTAGCTCAGTGGTTCTGCCTCCTGCCTCCCAAGCTCAAGGTCTTGAGTTCGATCCCCGATACCAAAAAAAAAAAAGATGGATGAGCTAGGTAGAAATATTATAGGCAGTCAGATAGGGCTAAGTCCTTGAGAGGGCCAGGACAAAGGTGAAACACACTGCAGCTGCATGTCAGATGAAAACCAGGCCTCAAGATGGAGACAAGATGACCAGACCCACATACTTCTTCAAAGAACTGGGCTTAGTGAAGTATAGATAGACATCAACCACCCTGGGGATGACCAGGGACCTCTGGATGCCCTGCCTCCTAGGAAAACCCTTGTCCTTTCCATCCAGGCTTGCTACGTGACTTGCTTCCCAATTGGACCACCATTACCTAAGTGACTGTACTTGTAACCTTATTGGATGTTCATGGCTGTGACCCTCGTACCCACTTTGATCTCACCCTATGAAACTTCTCTGCAGAGTGGGGTCCCTGGTCTACCCACTAGCGACCCCTCCTGCCCTGCAAGACCTTTCCTATCAATAAATATCTTCCAGCCGGTTGTGGTGGTGCATGCCTGTAATCCCAGCACTCAGGAGGCTGAGGCAGGAGGATCGCTGCTCCAGCCTGGGCTACGTAGTGAGTTCCAGGTCAGTCTCAACTACATAGTGAGACCCTGTCTCAAAAAAAAAAAAAAAAAAAAAAATCAATATCTTCCTACTTTTAACCTCTGTCATACCTAGGACTCATTCTTCGGTTTCTAGGAAATAAGAACTCAGCGTATCAATACATTTAACAGGTTAGCAGGGCCGAGGATTTAGCTCAGTGGTTCCGCTGCCTGCCTCGAAAGCTCAGGGATCCAAGTTCAATCCCCGGTACCAAAAACAAAAAAAAAGTTAACAGGTTGGGAGATACATTTCATATTTCATTCTGGAGGCTGAGGCAGGAGGATAGCCACAAGTTCAAAGCCAGCTAGGCTACATAGTGAGTTCAAGGTCAGCCTGAACTACATAGCGAGACTATTTCAAAAACACAAACCAAAAAATAGTTAATACTTTTTATTTTTCAATAGGGACTTGGTAGGGATATAGCTTAGGGACAGAGCACTTGCCTTCCCTGTACAAGGCCCTGGGTTCAATCTCCAGTCCTGCAAAAGGTAGGAAGGTTCTTGCTAAATTGGTATAGTGCCCCAGCTGCAGTTGAACTTGGCCCTCCTGCCTCAGCCTCCCAGAGTGCTAGGATTACAGCATGTGCCACCACACCTGGCCTCTGGCTATTACCATGACCTGGGGTGCTGTGGGCTCCTTCTAAAGATTCTTTACAGGTTCTTATTCTGAACAAAGAATTGGACAAGACAAGCACAAAAAGTAGTAAGGTTTTAACTTTTTTTTTCTTGGTTTTTTTGAGACAGGGTCTCACTATGTAGTTGAGACTGACCTGGAACTCACTATGTAACCCAGGCTGGTCTTGAACTCACAGCGATCCTCCTGCCTCAGCCTCCCAAGTGCTGGGATTACAGGCATGAGCCACCACGCCCAGCTAGTTTTACATTTATTAAAGGTAGGAAAAGGGCCGGAGAGATTTAGCTCAGTGGTTCTGAAGCCGGCCTCACAAGCACAAGGACCCGAGTTCGATTCCGGTACAAAAAAAGAAAGAAAGAAAGAAAAAAGAAAAGAAGTGCACTCTGCAGGGAGTGGGCACTGAAAGAGACAGCACAGTGGCCGTCAGGTTAATGGCCCCAGTCTTTTTTTGACTCCCTCAAGCTAACATTAGATCTAGGCTGTCCTACTAAAAACCTGCTTGATCTGACGCCAGAATTGAAGATAGTACTTTCTGATTGGTCCCAGTTGCAGGGCTTGGCCTCTTCTGCTCATGTTTCCTGGGTCTCTGTGACTGACAGCCCCCCACCCCACCCCTGCCCAAGTATATCTCCTGCCTCCGGACCTCATCTTCCTAAAGAGATGATACAGTCTTGGTTGGATGATCCTCTCCGAGCCAGTTAAATTTCAGTGAAAAATCACTTCTGATCTAGCAGATAATTCAATGTTTTAGAAAGAAATTGTATCTCTCCTACTAAATGGGGCAATTAAATCAGGCCACCTAGGATGCAGTGGGATCCATCTCCCTCAGACAGTTCCTCCAACAAGAGGGTGTCCCTGGGATTTAGGTAAAAAAAGTCTTGCTCCCCCAAGTGAAGTCCTGAGTGTGAATGTTGGTACCAAAATGCTGACAGCATTATGGGTTTCCCTGGAAGGTTCTTCCCCACCCCCTGTCTGCATGGCTTCCAGCTGTTCCAGAAAGTTCTGAACTTCCTCTCACTATAGCCCTCCTCCCTTCTCCCCTTCACTACTCTCTTCCTCAAGTGGAGAAGCAAAACCCACTTGAAAGCAATTGGAGCTCATGTGGTGCACACCTGTAATCCCAGCACTCAGGAGGCTGAGATGGGATGAATGCCACAAGTTCAAGGCCAGCCTGAACTATACAGTGAGACCCTGTCTCAAAAAGAAAAGCAGTTGGAGTGTGGGAGAGACAGAAGGAAAAGGGGCAGGACAAACCACACCTCTTCCCCTGTGCCTGCAGTCCTGTCACGTTAAGTCCCAAGGAGATTGGTGGTGTCCCTTTTCCGTGGTGTCTGTGGTGGGAATCCAGGCCCGTTGGCTGCCCTCTCAGGCCGGAGCCTTAGGGAGGTGTGGTGAAGCTGCACCAGGACTTGCAGTACCACACCAGGTACGCCAGGACCACTGGTTCCCTGTGCGCCTGGCCACCTGCTCAGCAGGTGCAGCCAGGCTTCTTGCTGGGCACCTGGCCCAGGAGCACCGGGCTGGACTCGGGGGTGAGGCTGTGCATGGTACCCTCGCCATACAGCTGCAGTCTATTGCGGGCCATCAGCTCCTTGGCCATCAGCACAAAGACCTCTTCGATGTTCCTAGACTCCTTGGCGGACGTCTCCAGGACAGCGAGGAGCCCATACTTCTCGGCCAGAGTGCAGGCGTCCTCGAACAGCACGTGCCGCTTCTGCCAGAGGTCCGACTTGTTTCCTGGGGCGAGGACAAGGACACAGGCCGCTGAATGACCGAATCCATCTGGGGTTCAAAATGAACGTGAAAAAGAACATTTCAAGCCAGGTGTGGTGGCACACACCTGGACAGAATCCTACACTCTGGGAGGCTTCGCCAGGAGGATTACAAGTTTCGGCCCAGCCTGGACCTTTTGGGGACTTAAGCAAGACCCTCAGAGATCAGCTTTCCAGTCTGTAAGATGTTTAAGAACTGGGAACAGTTGCAGGGAGGTGTGCGTGGGTGTACGTTACTGGCTGGGACGAATGGCCAGCACGTCTGAAATGGAACAGTGACGCTCAACAACTAGGCCACACACACCGAGAGGTCTGACAGGAGACTTTATTCAGGAGGGCAGAGCGGGGTGGGGGGAAGCAGAACAGGGAGTAGGGAAGCATTGGCTTATTTATAGGTTTGGGGTTGGGCTACCCTTTTAAGGAGGGAACCTTGCACAAGCTTTAGGTTTCGAGTCTATATGCTGACGTGGTCTTAGGGAAAAGGAAACGGTAGGAGTATAAAGGAAACGGTAGGAGTATGGACGTGGGAAGAACCCGGAAACGTGGCCCATAATGGTGGCATCAAATCTCTAACAATGTTCCTCTCAGTCTTCCCTCTCATCAGATCTGGCTGCTCTGCATTCATTTTCCCCAAATGCCAAGTTATTGTACGCTGTGTGATGGGGCCATCAGCTGAGGAGAGCGGGCAGGATCTGCTGGGCTGGAGGTGCATAAGGAAAAGCTTTTTTTTCTGTACTTATAATTTACATAAAATTCGCAGACTCAGTACACAGTTCAGTAAGCTTTGTCAAGTGTATCTGTTTGCCTAGCATGTATGCATAATGCCCTGAGTTCAATGCCCAACACTTAAATGTGGTGGTGCACACTTGTAATCCCAGCACCTGGTAGGCTGAGGCAGGAGGATCACCTCAAGCTCAAGCCCAACCTGGGCTACATAGTGAGTTAAATGATACTACATAGAGAGATGGGGTCTAAAAAATAAAACTAAAAAAGAAAACTAATGTTACCTAAATGAAATCATATAGCATGTATCTTCTGAGACTGTTTTGTTTTGTTTTGTTTTTTCACTCAGCCTAATTCCCTTGAGAGCACCCAGGTTGTATCAGCAGTTTATTTTCAGTGTATCTGTGGCAGTTTTCACTGCTACGTAGTACTTCATGTCGTAGTACAGTTTATTTAACCATCCACTATTGGAACAGTATTGGGGTAGGTGGATCTAGTTTGTTTTTTGTGGCAGTGGGATTTGAACTCAAAGGCTTGCCCATGTTAGGTGAGTTCTCTACCCCTGATCTATGTCCTCATAGCATTTTTGAAACTTTGAGCTAAAGTCTCATTACCTTGCCCAGGGCGGCTTTGAACTCAAGATCCTCCTGCCTCAGCTTCCCAAGTATCTGGGATTCCAGGTATGTGCCACCAGACCGGGCTAAAAATTTTTTTTTTCTTTTTCTTTCAATACTGGGGATTGAACCCAGCGTGTTATGCTAACATTAAGCTAGATCCCTAGCCATTTCTATTTTTATTTTATTTTGAGACAGGGTCTTGCTAATTTGCCCAAGGTATCCTTTTTATTCTGCTTTTGAGGCAGGCGGTGGAACCACTGAGCTAAATCCCCAGCCCCAAGCTATCCTTGAATTGTGGATCCTCCTATCTCAGCCTCCAGATTAGCTAAAATTGTAACTGGGATTATAGGCTGGGCTGTACAAACTTCTGTCAGTTGTAATACTGGTCTGTGTTCAGGGTCACAAAGGCTGAGTCTTCATTCGCTCGCAGCCACACTCAGCTGCGTGGCTGTGGGGATGTGGGGATCCCCAGCATTTCCCCTGTGTGGTCTACATAGCACCTGTGCCTGCATTGAGCTGGCGCGTCCTTCGCAGAGCCGAAATCACCCATCCCAGTCCCCTTACCATGGGAAACTGGAACAGGGGGTAAGAAACTTGCATCCTGTTGTGTTTTTTGAGACAAGGTCTTGCTGCACAGGCTGGCCTCATCCTCACAGCGTCCTCCTCCCTCAGCCTCCTAGTGCTAGGGATACAGGCGTCCTGCCCTACATCCTGCAGAAATCCGTTTTTAACAAGTTGGCACACGCACACGCACTCGCACTCTCCAGGATTATCCTGGGAATTTCTGGGCATGGTGTTAGCTGAGGCCCCGCCTGCAGCTTGTATTTCTAAGATTTTTGTGATCCACTGCCACAGAACCATGGTGACAAGCTGCAGTCCCCAGAGGGACCAGAGAGGAGAGTCTAACTGCTAGGATCAGCCTACCGATCAGCATGATGACCAGGTTCGCCGCTCCATATTTCTCTACCTCGTGAATCCAGTGCGGGACCGACTCGAAGGTGGACCTACGGGTGAGGTCGTAGGCGATGATGGCCGCATGCGCACTGCGGTAGTAGCTCTGGGTGATGGTGCGGAATCGCTCCTGGCCCGCTGTGTCCCACACCTGCATCTGTAGAAGTCAGGGGAGGGTCTGCATCAGGCATGGCCGGCAACATGGCCTGATCACCTCAGCCACTTAACATTGTTTTCTGGAGCTGCGCCTGGTTGCCCAGGCCTGTAATCCAAGCACACTTTGTGAGGCTGAGGCAGGAGAATTGCAAGGTCTCTACTTAGGTAATTTAGCAACTTGGTAATTTAGAATTTTAGCAACTTTTTTTTTTTTTTGAGACAGGATTTTGCTATGTAGTCCAGGCTGGCCTTGAACTTATTATCTAGCTCAGGCTGTCTTCAAGCTGTGGCAATCCTCCTACTTCAGCGTGTGCCACCACACTTGGCTGACCATGTCTTAATATTTTAAAAAATACAAAAGGGCTGGCAATGTAGCTCAGTGGAAAGGTTCTGGGTTCAATCCCTAGGGTGAGAAACATTCAGCGTGAGGCAGGGCAGAAATGTGTCCTTTTGCTTGCTCCCTGGGTGCCCTAGATGGAGGTTCTGCCAGATCGGGAACCACCAGCTAAGGGACACGCCCAGGAGAGGAGGCTGCATCCCACCCCCGGGGCTCTGACTTTTTATTTAACCGTCCCCTGGTTCAGATTTTGGGATTCATTTTCAAGCCTGCCCATGGGAAGGAATTCTGGCAAAGAGGGTGACATTGGCTGCATTGCCTGCATAAGGAACACTGAGTGTCCTTGTCACCTTCCACACCCTGTAGTCCAGGGTAGCAGCATGGATTTACATGCCTTGATAGTGTGAGAGGACACAGTTTCTCTGTCCTCTTAAATCATCAGTGTGAATGTGGCCCTTGGAAGAAAGTTGGCAAACATACACCAAACTAGAACAGAATGGAAATCAGCACACACCTGGACTCTGTGTAGTCCAGGCTGGCCTCAAACTTGTGGCGATTCCCCTGCCTCAGCCTCTTGAGCTTAGGGATTACAGGTGTGCACCACCACACCTGGCTTTACACCCTAGATTTATACAGAGACGCCCATCACTGTCAATTACAGAAGTATAAATTAAAATGATAGTGAGACACTATCTTTTATGCATTCAATTTGAAAAATCAACTTGGGAGGCTGAGGCCACAAGTTCAAGGCCAGCCTAGTAATAGTAAGTTCAGGACCAGCCTGCACTACTATAGCAAGACCCTGTCTCAAAAAACAAACAAAAAAGAGTCAATAGAAAGATCAAAAATTCTTGAATCTCATTTGGGATCCTGATGAAATAAGAACAAATGGCCAGGTGTGGTGGTATAGGCCATGAAACCTCGCACTTTGGGAGGCTGAAGCAGGAGTATGAAAGTTGGAGCCCAGCCTGGTAGATCTGTCTTAGTGAGACTGTCTAGGGCTGTAGCTCAGTGTGAAGGTCCTGTGTTCAGGTCCTGTGTTCAATCCTCAGAATTTAAAAAAGGAAGGAAAGAAGGAAAGTAAAGAGATATTCTCAGGACCGGGCATGGTAGCACACGCCTGTAATCCCAGCACTCAGGAGGCTGAGGCAGGAGGATCACTGTGAGTTTGGGACCAGCCTGGGCTACATAGTGAGTTCCAGGTCTCACCTACATAGTGAGACCCTGTCT